GCTGGAAGCTCTCGCCGAGGCTGCGGCCGTTGAAGTAGGAGCTGCGGCGGCGGTTCATCTGGGAGGAGCGGTTGCTGCTTCGAGAGCTGTTCTCGCGCATCCGCTGGTACGATCGGAGGACCAGATATTGGACCTGGAGGCAAGAGCGAGGTCGAGGCGTAAGTCATGGTATTAATTGCGATCGGGAGATTTGTAAACCGATTTTTTTTTTTAAGCGAGTTTTTACAATAGATGACGGGGGTCGAAAGAAGAAACGCGGAAAAGTAGTAATGTCGAAGGTCAAGAATGTAGATGTCATAAAATGTCGCTCGTGCTTAATGTCGAATGGAATGGAGTCCGAATTTTTAAACATCGACGGAGAGGAAGTGCCGAAACATGTCGAATGTGAATCATACTCGAGTGATCATCCGGTGGGAGCGAGCAAACATGACTTAGTTGAACGATGTTGCTCCATGAAAGGGCGATGAAGGGACTGGTGGAGGGATTCGAACGGTCAGCGGATACGACTGGAAAGTCATGAGGTCGCTTACGCCTTCTGCCTCCTCTGCTTTGTCTCTCGTCACGAAGCTTCATCGAGCAACTTGGTGATGTCCTTGCATGCAATTTAACTCTTTGAATGCGAATGTGGATCCTTCGATGAAGCCATTCCATGGCGTTCCATGTAAGTCTCGACATTAGTGAGTCCAGAGAGGCAGACGACAGCAAGAGAGAAATGTTCCTGGAGATGTCAGAACCGCTCTTTCAAAGTTCGTGCCATCACACAGGGGGTACAGCCGATGAATGAACCTTCCAGTTATCGCGATCATGCTCTTCCCCTTGCATCCCTTGATCTGAAGACTGCAAGTGCTTTGCCTAATGAATGTGTTCAATGTCCATTTCGACATTTACTCGATCGATATTTTCTCCTATCGACATTGCTGCGTTTCTAAATCGTCTCCATCGACATTTTTGCCGTCGACGATTTTCTTCTCGACATTTTTTCTTTCGACATTCAGAAGCGCACCGGATTTTCACGGTGTCGGGGGTGGTAATCGTGCACACTTCCCTCTCGATGGCGAAGGCTTGCTCCTTTCGTTTTCCATAGGCCATATCGTCGACGACAAATCCAAATGGCGACTGGAGATGAGGCGATCTTAGTCACTGGGGATCATCCCTCCAGCCACGGAATTTCAGGTGAGAATGAGGGATTAGGGACACGAACGTTGTGGTTTTCGTCACTGGGAACTTCAATGGACTTCGTCATGACCGAGTTCGACTGTAGATGAGATTTCTTTGTTTTGCGTGTGTCTCATGCGATCAACGTTTTCGAGTCTCTCCACGTTCGAATTTGAGTTTTCGAAAACTCTTTTGCCGATTCGTCACTTACCCCGATGAAAAGTGAAAAAATAGAAATTTGGAAACGAATAAAGTTACGACTGACCTCCCCGTTGAGGTAGCAGAAGATGATGGCGACGAGGAAACCCTGGATCCCGTCCAGCACGTCGTTCAAGTACTGGTAGTACTCGACCCACTTGCAGGCGCTCCTCGGCGGTCTGTAGATGGTGAGGAGGTAGTGGAGGCCGAACAGGGGGACGAGGACCAGGGTCGCTCGGACGGCTTTCCTGCAAAATGGGATGATGGGGAGGTCGGATGGGGTCCGGGGGTCGGGGGGGTCGGACGGGGTTCATGTTCGTGAACGCTTGGGGTTTCGTTTCGGTCTTTCGGGTTGTATTGAAATTTATTGTTTTCGAGAGTTGTGTTCACGAAGTTGAGCCCCGTGCCTACTGATGTGAGGAGTTCCCCAAGCAGTGCTTAAAAATAAAAAGGGTTCGCGAGCAGAGTGGCTCGCGCAGTGTGTTTCCAGGGGAGTAAACTTTTCAGGCTCGTGTTTGCTGTTGCAACGGTATGGCAACTGTCGGCGAAGGAAGTTTCGTGCCTCCGACCGAATTCGGTCGCATCGGGAGGGTTAATAACACTCCTGTCTTCATTGAATATTGGTAGGAGCCTCTTTATGCCGAATGCCCTCTCACATTGCTTGCCGACCTGAAGGCTGGAATTGAGGAATCGTGGCCTTCTGCCTCTCACAACACGTTAAGAAAGGGAATCGACCGACGGAAGCAGCGTCTGCGAGCAAACCTGGACCGGTATAAAATTTGACCGGAATGTGGACCACTTACAATAACTTATAACATATTACCCATAACCTTACAAGGGACCATTCATATGTACTCCCTTGTTGCAAAGATGACCATCCCTATTTCATCCTTTCTCTCAAAGAGAACCTTCCGTATTTCATCCTTGTTCTCGCCGGGGAACATCCCCATCTACTCCCTTCTCTCACAGGGGACGATCGCAATCTCATCCCCTCTC